CTCTATCCAAATATCTCGGATTCTGGTATCACCGCACAAGATCTCGGCAATACCACAATCATATCGACAATTTGGCTCATCCACATGGCACCTCGATCAACTCCTCGACAGCATCTCGGCCACGTGGCACGACTCTAAAAATACATTTCCACAAGAACCCACTAAATTTAATAGACAAACACTTACACATGCAAGAGATTTGATGCACTATTAAAATCCACTAAATTTAATAAATAAACACTTACACTCATTAATAAACAAACACTTACACATGCAAGAGATTTGATGCATAGAACCCACGTGCTACTAGCTAACAATTCAAACACAGCCATGTGATGGTAATAACCAGTAGCTATTCCAATGCTGGACAGAAACACCAAAACGAAGGACTATAAATCATTAGACATCAGTGGTGGGCAGCAGATCATTATTGGTTTTAGTGTTTCTATCCAGCATGGGAATAGCTACTGGTTGTTGCCATCACATGGGTGTTGTTTGAATTGTTAGCTAGTAGCACGTGGGTTTTGATAGTGCATCAAATCTCTTGCATGTGTAAGTGTTTGTTTATTAATGGGTGTAAGTGTTTGTTTACTAAATTTAGTGGGTTCTGATAGTGCATCAAATCTCCTGCATGTGTAAGTGTTTGTTTATTAATGGGTGTAAGTGTTTGTTTATTAAATTTAGTGGGTTTTGATAGTGCACATGTGTATGTATTTGTTTTATTAATAAGTGGTTTATTACATTTCGTCTCAGTAAAGGCTTGGACCCATTTTTTTTAATGGGCTTGTGATTAAATCAGCCTATTTAGAATTTTGGTGCATGTTTTAGGGCCTACACGTGCAGGGCTGCTAGCTTTTCAAGGGTGGGCTTTAAAATTATATGATGGATTAGTGTATTAAGGCCACAGTTTTCTTGAAGCTAGACAGATTGGATTGTTATCATATTTGTAAAATACATATTTGATTGTTATCAAAAAAAATAAACTTATGTGGATGGGTTTGATTATGTTAAAAATTTGTAAAAATATAAATCGTCAAATCGATTTACATCCATTTGTCAATTCACTCAATACGCATCCACCAATTCGGTGAATGGTTGCGGATTGATTTTCTTCAATCCGCTTAGTTTTGGACGGATGGCGAATTGGAAGTTCCTTTAGACCGCAACTGAACCGCGAACACCCATAATTCTATTCAATTTTATTTAACAATATTTCAATTTTTAAAAAATTATCAAAATATAAAATTTAAATATACTATAATAATAATATGTACTTTGCACCAGTCTTTTTAAACTAATGTGTATATATCTATATAATAAAGCAAAACGAATTTTGAAAATATGTTAGACACAATTGTCCTACTAAGACATTTCAATGGTTATGATTCATTTGTTTATTTACATAGATGGCTGAGATGACCCCCTTAATTTGTTTCTAATTTGTTTCCCGCCCAAACACACTCTACTCTCTCTCTCTCTCTCTCTCTCTCTCTCTCCCACGTCTCCTCCCCCTTCTATCTTTATCTCTCTCTCCCTTTCTGTTGCACGTCTCCTCCCATTTCATCCTTATCTCTATCTCCCTCTTTGTTCCTTTTCTTTATCTCTCCTTTTTCTCCGACTACAGAAAAATATTTCAGTTTTAGATTTTGCCTTCAAAGGCTTGTGAAGAAAGCAGAAAAATATTTCAGGTGAAATTCTCATTTCTGTTTATCATCATCTCCCTTCTCTCCGACTGTATCTCCCTCTCCCTCTTTGTTCCTCTTCAGTTTCAGATTTCAATTCGCAACCCTTTGCTTTGAATTGCGATTTCAGATTTTCTTCTTCTCTCCGACTACAAAAAACCCTTTGCTTTGAATTGCGATTTCAGATTTTTCCTTCAAAGGCTTGCAAAGAAAGTAGAAAAATATTTCAGGTGAGATTCTCACTTCTGTTTATCTCAATCCCTCTTTGTTCTTCTTCTTTATCTCTCCCTTCTCTCCGACTGGCTTCAATTCGCAACCCTTTGATTTGAAATTTTTGAATCATTTTTTTCATGGAAATCTTATAAGCCTCCTCGAGTTCTTGAGTAGTTAACATAGTTGTTTTTTCTGAAATCTATGCTTTCCAGATTTAGCTTATTTTATGTTGTTCATTCTATTTATTTCTTTTGTGTAGTATAAGTTTGGTTGTTGAGAAATTTGGAAGAAAAAAGGGGAAAAAGAAAGAGAGAAATAAAAACTCTATAATTTAGAATTAGAAGTCACACCCATTAAGTGTTTGTTTGAATTGGTCTGAGAGGTTCTTCCATTTTTTAACTGAATCGACAGTTGGGTTTTCTTGAGCTGTCCATTTCATGGGTTTGTGCTGCTGGGTTTTCTGGTTCGGGTTCAAGATTATAAGCCTCCTCGAGTTCTTGAGTAGTTAACATAGTTGTTTTTTCTGAAATCTATGCTTTCCAGATTTAGCTTATTTGTTTGATACCAATACGAATGAGTTTATATTGTTCATTCTATTTATTTCTTTTGTGTAGTATAAGTTTGGTTGCTGAGAAATTTGGAAGAAAAAGGGGGAAAAAAAAAGAGAGAAATAAAAACTCTATAATTTAGAATTAGAAGTCACACCCATTAAGTGTTTGTTTGAATGTTGGTGTCCAACATGAATACAACTACTATCTAGAAGTGTCAATGCGATTATCAAGGCTATTAGTTTTATGAACCTATTGTTGTTTGAATTATTTACAATGATAAAGTGTAAAGGCAAAATTAAGAGGTCATGTTTCCTGCAAGCAGGTTGGATTTTCCTCATCTTGCAAACCAGGGCAGTTGGGGAACTAAAAACACCCCTGTGAAAGGAACTCTTGGAGGGTCATTGGGCCGACAGAAATCTACGGGTGGCAGACTAAACATTCTCTTTCATCATCACCTGCCTCTGCTCGGTTGTCCCTGAAAGGGAAAAAGGATGCCATGACCAAGCAATCAGGTAAACCATTATGGCTGGTAGGTTTTCTAATTGAATAATTTAAGTGTCCTTTTAACCTCCAATCCTTGCAAAGGCCATGGACTTCAGAGATTGGTGTGAGAGTGAGTCTGTCAGGCTTATCGGGACAAAAGGTATTGTATTGCTATTTCCATTGGCATCTCATTTTCCTTGATTTTTTTATTGGTTGTAATAAATAAATAATTAAATAAATAAACTAACACTTAATTTTATTTTAAATAAAAAACACACAAAATTAAGTAAACAAACAAATTTAATTTTAAAATACTGAATTTATACACAAAAAAACAAACAAAAGCTTAACAGTAATACACTTAAAGTGTTAGATGATTAGTCCATAAGATTGAATGTAGTTGATTAGTCTTTCTCCACTAAATACAAAAAAAAGGAAAAAGTTATATCAAAAGCTGAATAGTGTTTTCCCAAAAGAGAAGAAAAAGTTTGCGAACAGAGAGGGAACTCGAAAATGACTACCAGCAGCAGTTGTTTTGTAAACATGGAACTGTACCATTTTGTGAAACGTGGGTATAGTGGAGGTTATTCAGTTTGTGAATTAATAACTTATCATGTTACCCTTAATTAGAAATTGATATACGTGTAAAAATAGTATGATTATTTACAAATTTAAGATCATTTTAGGAGAAATAGGAAAAAATTTCTTAGACAATGGCTTTAAAACTCCAAGAAAGTTGTTCCCTTTTAATAATAGAATAGAAAAAATACTATTAGTATTGTCTATTCTATTTAAAATAAAATATTAATATTGTCTATTCTATTTAAAATAAAATAAATAGACATCGCATGTATATATAGTATTTTAAGAACAAGAATTAGTTTGCACAAACCCATGTATAAGTTCAGTATTTGAAAAAAAAAAAAACATTTGTGGGATTACATCTTTAACATGTCATAACTTTGCACGTGATAATCTATTTTGGACAAATTTTGTTTTGTTTTGTTTTTTTGTTTTTAGATTTATGCATATGAAACTGCGGAAGGCGATTTTGAGTGATTACTTTCGCCAAAAAAAAAAAAAATTCAATATTAGTCTTATTTGAAAGATCTTGAAAAAACAAATTTTACATATATCAATTTTATTAAGAACAAATTTGTAAAACTCAAGTTATGAGGAGCAGCTTTTAATTATTCGAAACGTTCATATTGTAAGGTCCGCTCAGTAGATCATCTATAAAAATAAAAATAACAATAAAAAATTAATTGGATATCTTTAGTCCCATGATTAGTTTTTAATTGCTTTTAAATTGCAGAGTACTGGCTGGTGTGCATTTATTTGATATTTAATTTTTTTTTATTTTTTATATTTGATTTGTTTGGAATTGTTGAGTGTAATCTATTAAATATATTTTTATAATTGTATTTTAATCTTAAATTTAAATAGTATTGCGATTACAATTATATTATAATCCTAACATTATTTATACCGTGCCTTCAGACACGGACATACGCTAGTATATATATATGCCAGGGAAAACTCTGAGGCAGTTGCATATATATCATTGAAATAGATAAAGTACAATAACAAAATTAGTATAATGCACTCCATTCTCTATGCTATTATTATGTTGAACTATCTGATTTAGTAGAATATTTTGTTTGGGTTATGTTGAGAAGTAAATTATAAGTTTATTTTTTGGCTTACTATAAAAAAAATATATAAAAATAGAGAGTTAATGGCCCTGTTTGGTAGAGCTGTGGGAAAGTGTTTATAGCTTATGCCTTAACAGCTTATAGCTTATAACTATGAATATAAGCTGATTTCTGACTTATAAATTAAAGCTTCTCCTGCCCCATTCAAAGAATAAGTTGATTTCTGACTTACAAAAAGTTATAAGCTGCATTGTTAAGTTAAACCAAACATATCAAAATAGCTTAAATTAAGCTAAAAAAAAGCTGTACCAAACAGAGCCAATTAGATCTAAATAAGTTGATAAATCAATAAGCTAGCTTATTCTCCCCTTTATATATAATATTTTCATTTATTTAATCAAGCCAAACACAAATTCAAACAGAGTTGCAACTTTATTTTACATAGAAAAGCAAAGTGATGTGAAGAGTAGTAATTCAGCAAGCTACGAAATGGACATTCTTTTTCTTTTTTGGTAACAGTAGAGCAGTAATATTATGGATAAAAAAGTAAACAGTTACAAGGTTCTAGGATAGTAGACCATCCTAGCTTCATCAAACATTTGATTACAAATGCAAGGAGGGGGATGTTGAAAAATATGATTTTCTTCATTAGCAGGAATTTCTTGATTTGTTAGGTTGTCGTCACAAGTATTTTCTTCTCTACAAATGTGGTTGATTGTCTTCACTTCCAAGCAGTTCATCAGGGACCTGCAATTTAGATTTGCCTCCAGTCTCTGTGAGCACTAATCCTACATTAAAAACGTAAATATATGTCACAAATATTTTTTTTTTTGGAAAAAATTACAACATATTATGATTTTTATTAGAAAATATTATGATTGTGCTAGATTAATTTTTTATTATTTCAGCAAAGAAATTGCTGTGTCTAAACTTTGTAGACATTTTTTGAACATAACAAAAAGCTATTACGGCGTTTTTGAAGTGTCGCTGAATGCCTGTGTGACGTCATTTTACCGTTGGGCTGTCACATTTAGCGGCATTTTTATAAACGCCGCCTATGCTAATTTTACGACGTTTTTAAAGCGTCTTAAACTGACAGCGACGGTCGCGTCCTCGGCGTTTGGTGGTAAGCGTCACTGAAGGAATTAGCGGCGTTTTTCAGACATATAGCGGCGTTTTAAAAACGCCACTAAAAATCATTTTTCCAGCAGTGACATGTGTATGTATTTGTTTATTAATGAGTGGTTTATTACATTTCATCTCAGTAAAGGCTTGGACCCATTTTTTTTAATGGGCTTGTGATTAAATCAGCCTATTTAGAATTTTGGTGCATGTTTTATGGCCTACACTTGCAGGGCTGCTAGCTTTTCAAGGGTGGGCTTTAAAATTATATGATGGATTAGTGTATTAAGGCCACAGTTTTCCTGATGCTAGACAGATTGGATTGTTATCATATTTGTAAAACATAGATTTGATTGTTATCAAAAAAAATAAAATTATGTGGATGGGTTTGATTATGTTAAAAATTTGTAAAAATATAAATCGTCAAATCGATTTGCATCCAGTTGTCAATTCACTCAATCCGCATCCACCAATTCGGTGAACGGTTGCGGATTGATTTTCTCCAATCCGCTTAGTTTTGGACGGATGGCGAATTGGAAGTTCCTTTAGACCGCAACTGAACCGCGAACACCCATAATTCTATTCAATTTTATTTAACAATATTTCAATTTTTAAAAAATTATCAAAATATAAAATTTAAATATACTATAATAATAATATGTACTTTGCACCAGTCTTTTTAAACTAATGTGTATATATCTATATAATAAAGCATAACGAATTTTGAAAATATGTTAGACACAATTGTCCTACTAAGACATTTCAATGGTTATGATTCATTTGTCTATTTAGATAGATGACTGAGATGACCCCCTTAATTTGTTTTTAATTTGTTTCCCACCCAAACACAGTCTACTCTCTCTCTCTCTCTCTCCCCCACGTCTTCTCCCCCTTCCATCTTTATCTCTCTCTCCCTTTCTATTGCACGTCTCCTCCTATTTTATCCTTATCCTTATCTCCCTCTTTGTTCCCTCTTTGTTCCTCTTCTTTATCTCTTCCTTTTCTCCGACTGTAGAAAAATATTTCAGTTCCAGATTTTGCCTTCAAAGGCTTGCGACGAAAGCAGAAAAATATTTCAGGTGAAATTCTCATTTCTGTTTATCATCATCTCCCTTCTCTCCGACTGTATCTCCCTCTCCCTCTTTGTTCCTCTTCAGTTTCAGATTTCAATTCGCAACCCTTTGCTTTGAATTATGATTTCAGATTTTCTTCTTCTCTCCGACTGCAGAAAACCCTTTGCTTTGAATTGCGATTTCAGATTTTTCCTTCAAAGGCTTGCGAAGAAAGCAGAAAAATATTTCAGGTGAGATTCTCATTTCTGTTTATCTCAATCCCTCTTTGTTTCTCTTCTTTATCTCTCCCTTCTCTCCGACTGGCTTCAATTCGCAACCCTTTGATTTGAAATTTTTGAATCATTTTTGTCATGGAAATCTTATAAGCCTCCTCGAGTTCTTGAGTAGTTAGCATAGTTGTTTTTTCTGAAATTTATGCTTTCCAGATTTAGCTTATTTTATGTTGTTCATTCTATTTATTTCTTTTGTGTAGTATAAGTTTGGTTGCTGAGAAATTTGGAAGAAAAAAGGGGAAAAAGAAAGAGAGAAATAAATCAAAGGCTTGCGAAGAAAGCAGAAAAATATTTCAGGTGAGATTCTCATTTCTGTTTATCTCAATCCCTCTTTGTTTCTCTTCTTTATCTCTCCCTTCTCTCCGACTGGCTTCAATTCGCAACCCTTTGATTTGAAATTTTTGAATCATTTTTGTCATGGAAATCTTATAAGCCTCCTCGAGTTCTTGAGTAGTTAACATAGTTGTTTTTTCTGAAATCTATGCTTTCCAGATTTAGCTTATTTGTTTGATACCAATATGAATGAGTTTATGTTGTTCATTCTATTTATTTCTTTTGTGTAGTATAAGTTTGGTTGCTGAGAAATTTGGAAGAAAAAGGGAAAAAAGAAAGAGAGAAATAAAAACTCTATAATTTAGAATTAGAAGTCACACCCATTAAGTGTTTGTTTGAATGTTGGTGTCCAACATGAATACAACTACTATCTAGAAGTGTCAATGCGATTATCAAGGCTATTGGTTTTATGAACCTATTGTTGTTTGAATTATTTACAATGATAAAGCGTAAAGGCAAAATTAAGAGGTCATGTTTCCTACAAGTAGGTTGGATTTTCCTCATCTTGCAAACCAGGGCAGTTGGGGAACTAAAAACACCCCTGTGAAAGGAACTCTTGGAGGGTCATTGGGCCGACAGAAATCTACGGGTGGCAGACCTGCTGATCTCTTTCATTATCACCTGCCTCTGCTCCATTGTCCCTGAAAGGGAAAAAGGATGCCATGACCAAGCAATCAGGTAAACCATTATGGCTAGTAGGCTTTCTAATTGAATAATTTAAGTGACCTTTTAACCTCCAATCCTTGCAGAGGCCATGGACTTCAGAGATTGATGTGAGAGTGAGTCTGTCAGGCTTATCGGGACAAAAGGTATTGTATTGTTATTCCATTGGCATCTCATTTTCCTTGATTTTTTTATTGGTTGTAATAAATAAATAATTAAATAAATAAACTAACACTTAATTTTATTTTAAATAACAAACACACAAAATTATGTAAACAAACAAATTTAATTTTAAAATACTGAATTTATACACAAAAAAACAAACAAAGCTTAACAGTAGTACACTTAAAGTGTTAGATGATTAGTCCATAAGATTGAATGTAGTTGATTAGTCTTTCTCCACCAAATACAAAAAAAAAAGGAAAAAGTTATATCAAAAGCTGAATAGTGTTTTCCCAAAAGAGAAGAAAAAGTTTGCGAACAGAGAGGGAACTCGAAAATGGCTACCAGCAGCAGTTGTTTTGTAAACACGGAACTGTACCATTTTGTGAAACGTGGGTAGTGGAGGTTATTCAGTTTGTGAATTAATAATTTATCATGTTACCCTTAATTAGAAATTGATATAAGTGTAAAAATAGTATGATTATTTACAAATTTAAGGTCATTTTAGGAGAAATAGGAAAAAATTTCTTAGACAATGGCTTTAAAACTCCAAGAAAGTTGTTCCCTTTTAATAATAGAATAGAAAAAATACTATTAGTATTGTCTATTCTATTTAAAATAAAATAAATAGACATCGCGTGTATATATAGTATTTTAAGAACAAGAATTAGTTTGCACAAACCCATGTATAAATTCAGTATTTAAAAAAAAAAACATTTGTGAGATTACATCTTTAACATGTCATAACTTTGCACTTGGTAATCTATTTTAGACAAATTTTGTTTTGTTTTGTTTTTTTGTTTTTAGATTTATGCATATGAAACTGCAGAAGGCGATTTTGAGTGATTACTTTCGCCCCCCAAAAAAAAAAAAAAAATCAATATTAGTCTTATTTGAAAGATCTTGAAAAAACAAATCTACATATATCAATTTTATTAAGAACAAATTTGCAAAACTCAAGTTATGAGGAGCAACTTTTAATTATTCGAAGCATTCATATTGTAAGGTCCGCTCAGTAGATCATCTATAAAAATAAAAATAAAAAATTAATTAGATATCTTTAGTCACTACAAGAAAAAACACTTTTGGTGACCACCTATTTTTTTTGGTCGCAAATAGTCCACTTTCTGCGACTAAAATTTAACTTTTGGCGACCACAATTTTTTGGTCGCGGAAAATCACCTTTTGGCGACCAAAAAAATAAGTTGGTCGCGGAAAGTATACTATTGGCGACCAAAGGCTTTTTTGGTCGCGGAAGATCACCTTTTGGCGACCAAAAAAAAAGTTGGTCACGGAAAGTATACCCTTTGGCGACAAAAAAAAAAAGTTGGTCGCGGAAAGTATTCTATTGGCGACCAAAGGCTTTTTTGGTCGCGAAAGATTACCCTTTGGCGACCAAAAAAAAAAGTTGGTCGCGGAAAGTATGCTATTGGCCACCAAAGGCTTTTTTGGTCGCGGAAGATCACCTTTTGGCGACCAAAAAAAAAGTTGGTTACGGAAAGTATACCCTTTGGCGACAAAAAAAAAAGTTGGTCGCGGAAAGTATACTATTGGCGACCAAAGGCTTTTTTGGTCGCGGAAGATCACCTTTTGGCGACCAAAAAAAAAAGTTGGTCGCGGAAAGTTATGGCGGAATAAATTTAAAAAAAAAATGATACTACAGTAATTACATGCTATTTTTCTATTTAGGCATTAAAAGTTTTATAAAATAATATATAACCCAATTTTTATGGGTTATATATTTTTGTTGTCAAATATGAACAAGAAGTATGTTATTGGCAGAGTGGCAGAGTGGATTGGGTGCATGGTGACTCCTTGGTCAGATGTTCAAGTTCCAGGGAGCACAAAAGAATTATTTTTTTTGGGTCAAGGCGCTGACTTTTGGCGACGAACTTATCTTTGGTCACTAAAAGTTTACTTTTGGCTAATATGAATTGGACTTTTCGCGACCAAAGGCTTTTTTGGTCGCAGAAAACTATCTGTGACGAGATTTTAGCGACCAACTCGCGACCAACATATTTTGGTCGCGAAAAGGTTTTAGTGACCAAATATGGTACTTTTCGTGACCAAACATGTTCGTCACGGAAAGTGTTTTTTCTAGTAGTGAGTCCCATGATTAGTTTTTAATTGCTTTTAAATTGCAGAGTACTGGCTGATGTGCATTATTTGATATTTAATTTTTTTTTTATATTTGATTTGTTTGGAATTGTTGAGTGTAGTCTATTAAATATATTTTTATAATTGCATTTTAATCTTAAATTTAAATAGTGCTGCGATTACAATTATATTATAATTCTAACATTATTTACACCGTGCGTTTAGATACGGGCATACGCTAGTATATATATATGCCAGGGAAAACTCTGAGGCAGTTGCATATATATCATTGAAATAGATAAAGTACAATAACAAAATTAGTATAATGCACTCCATTCTCCATGCTATTATTATGGGTCTATGTTGAACTCTCTGATTTAGTAGAATATTTTGTTTGGGTTATTTTGAGAAGTAAATTATAAGTTTATTTTTTGGCTTACTATAAAAAATATATATAAAAATAGAGAGTTAATCAGATCTAAATAAGTTGATAAATCAATAAGCTAGCTTATTCTCCCCTTTATATATAATATTTTCATTTATTTAATCAAGCCAAACACAAATTCAAACAGAGTTGCAACTTTATTTTATATAGAAAAGCAAAGTGATGTGAAGAGTAGTAATACAGCAAGCTACGAAATGGACATTCTTTTTCTTTTTTGGTAACAGTAGAGCAGTAATATTATGGATAAAAAAGTAAACGGTTACAAGGTTCTAGGATAGTAGACCATCCTAGCTTCATCAAACATTTGATTACAAATACGAGGGGGATGTTGAAAAATATGAATTTCTTCATTAGCAGGAATTTCTTGATTTGTTAGGTTGTCGTCACAAGTATTTTCCTCTCTAAATGTGATTGATTGTCTTCACTTCCAAGCAGTTCATCAGGGACTTGCAATTTAAATTTGCCTCCAGTCTCTGTGAGCACTAATCCTACATTAAAAACGTAAATATATGTCACAAATATTTTTTTTTTTGGGAAAAAATTACAACATATTATGATTTTTATTAGAAAATATTATGATTGTGCTAGATTAATTTTTTATTATTTCAGCAAAGAAATTGGTGTGTCTAAACTTTGTAGACACTCACATAATTTCTAATCATTGTCATATTTTTGTTCAAATTTGATGAAACTTTTAAAAGATTAAGAATTAGAGTTGATTTTCTTTCATAAAAAATTATTAAAACAGGTCTTAATATAAGTTTGGAATTTTTCAAAAAAGATTTGATGGAAAAAAACAAAAAATCGAGGGTTAGAGTGCTCAATCTCATATCAAACCTTTAAGCCAAATTTTCACTCAAATTAGATGGAAAAAAGAGAGAATAAGAATTGGACATATGATCCAATAGCAGCAATTTTCAAAAACCATGGTCTTGTTCATGTTTAAACATAAATAATTTTTTATTTGATTTTATTTTTAAATAGAAAGCCTAGCAATTCAATGTATTATTGTTGATTACAGAACTACATGTAAATTGTAATGAAAAAAATCTAAATCCGAACATGCATGCAAATTGTAATGAAAAATAACTAAAAAAAAAAAAAACTTCCATGGTAGTGAAGAAATTGAACTTACAGGCAAGAGAGAAAGACGTCCACTCATTGGTGACTACTATGTCTCTGTCCAACTTTTCTCTCAAATCTGCTACAAACTCTTGTGGCATGTTTGTTAAAATCATTTCTTTCAATTCAGGCAGCTCCTTGAACCCCTCCAAGTTTTTCAGTTTATCACAGCCTCTAATTTCTAATTCTACAAGTTGGGGCAGAGCACCTTTCCTCACCGTCCACTGCCTTAAATCTTCCAGCTTCCACAATTTCAAGACGCGGAGTTCGCAAAATTCCCCAGAAAGACATCTTATTTCCGCCCCAACATAGGCGCGTGCTAAAAGGTTGAGGATATTTAGCCGAGGCAGATTCCCTAGCACACGCATCGGATCGTCTGTTAGTTCCGACATCGACAATGTTAGGATTTTGAGATTGAGAGAAAGATTGTGTATCCCATCTTTTATCAGTCCAAACAAATGCAATTTTGACAGAGTCTGATGGTCTTTTAAAGGACTCAACACCAGGTCTGAAGGTTGACCAAATGGAAGGTCTCTTGATCTCAATTTCAAGGTTTCAAGTTTGTCGAGTAGCGAAATGCACTCAACTGTTTTCTTTACCGATTTAGAATGGCAAGTGACTCCTAATTTCCGTAGGGCTGTGAACTGGTCCAAGCGATAGTTGTCATTTTCTTCATCAGATTCCTCTTCAGAACCAATCACGAGCCCCGTTAAGGTCTCAAGTTTTGATGTTGAAGTCAAAGACTCTTTCGATGATGGCTTTCGAATGGACACCCCGGTCATATAGAGATGTCGAAGGCTCTTTGCCTTCCAAATTGAACTCGGCAAAGCGGTTATATTTGTATACTTCAAATCTAAAGTCTCTAGGCATTGCAAATCCCCAATAGACTCCGGAAACGTGTATAGGCCCGTCCATCGCAAGCCTATGTACCTTAGGTTCTTCAAGAACCGGCCGAGTTTCTCGGGTAGCGAAGGTTTGTAGACACCCTCTAGATCAAGAACCTTCAAAGGAACAAAACTTTTCCCCTTATTGACTAGTGAATTAAGCAACTTACCAATTTTTGTGTTGGATGTAACTTGCTTTTGGGCTTCGAAAGAAACATAAGAACATAGATTTTGAGTATGAGATTCCGAAGTAGACGTAACCCCGAAAAACTGATCTGCAATCCTCCGAATAATAGGTGAATCTGCAAGTGTGCAATCTGAATTGAGATGGTGGACGTGAAGAAATCCTATATCCTCGGCTTTTGGTAAGAAGATGTTGTAGAGGAAACACGGCATACGACATGTCTTGGGGCTTCCGTTGGATTTCCTTTCCACAATTTCAATCATGTTTCTTCGCTCTAGTTCTTCCAAACATGTCATGGCCATATCTTGAGAGTCGATGCTTTGTTTATTCGGTGTTTGAACAAACCCTTCAGCAACCCACAACTGCAATAACCTCCGCGTTGGAATCTCATACGATTTAGGAAACATAGCCAAATAAAGAAAACAAAGCTTCAATCCAGATGGTAATTTTTCATAGCTCAAATCAACAAGACATTTTAAGAAATGATGATGATCTTGAGCACGGAGATGATCAATGACTGTTGACCACTCGCTTAATTCCACAGTCGACAACAAGCCTCCCAACAAGACAATTGCCATAGGCAAACCGCGACATAAACTCAGAATTTCGGCCTTGACATTGTTTAAATTATTCTGTGAACCATTTTCTGGTACCGCTCTGTTCAAGAACAATGCCCAAGTATCCTCTTATGTTAACTGCATCAGATTCAGAAGATGACTCCACGGATCTACTTCCGACGCGACCTTAGAGTCACGAGTAGTGATTATGACTCTGCTACCATTCGCGGCATCTGCAAAGGGACGCACAAATTTGAGCCAGTCATCATTGGTGCAGATATCATCCAAGACTATTAGAAACCTGAGCCCCATTAAAATCTTGAAAAGGAAAATTGAGAGTTCGTTCTCCTTCATTAGCTCTATGTCTTTCAATAAATTTGGAGTCTGTCGGAGTATGACAAGCAATACATCTTTGTATGAAAATTCTTTCGGAACATGGAGCCAAGCACGGCACTGGAAATGCTGCCGAATGTCTAGTCTGTTGTAAACTTTTCTTGGCAGAGTTGTCTTTCCGATTGCTTCTTTGCCGACTAGTGAAATCACGCGGAGGCTTTTCTCGTTGTCGTCGATCGATCGTGCTACGATCTCTTTTTCAGCATCTTCGCGTCCAACAAATACGTCATTATCAGGTCGGTGCCTTTCAATTCACCATAGCAAGCTCTGAAATGATTTACTATTTTCTTCATTTTGGTGGTGAATTGAACTTGGCTCCGTGGTGGAAACACCATTAATGGCTTTTGAAGAATAATTTGACACGCTGCACTGACACTATCTGATCTGCTTCTTGTTATGTTTGCATTTAGGAGGAAAACATCGGTGATGTGTTCTGCAAAGTAAACAGTAGGAAGAAGACGAGCCTGTAACGAATTGATACAACTGGTATTATTCTCTGCTTCGGCTTCGAGGAAGCTCAAAATCAGTTTGAGTTCCTTGATGGCAACACGCAAGCTGTTTCTGAGTCCAGGAAAGATTAAAAATCTTCCCTTGGCAAGCACTAGCAGATTCTGCAATTTCTCTGATAATAATGAAATTGTAAAGTGCAATTCAGTCACCATGGTTTCTCTCAGTCTCTTCGGTTCTTCTTTCTTAATTTCACACCGGTTGTGTTTCTATCATGGATTTACAAGGGGATAAGGAAAAGAGAAACAAGGAAAAAGCGATTTGCAAAAAATAAATTTAGAGAAATGGTATATATATTATTTGGGTTTGGATTTCGTCAAGGTTGTTATTTCAACAACTTATTTGAATGGACCATTTTAGTGCGATTCAGTTAATTCAAATCGTTTATTTTTTAATATTTATTAATTAAAATATTTATGTAAAAAATTAAAACGATCGAATATTGATAGTTATATATTTAAATCATATTTATATTATAAAAAATGAATAGTTATTTTTGAAATTATAATTGTCGATTATTTTTTTATAAATGTGATTCCAACATATAACTATTGATATTTAATCATTTTTGCATAAATATTCTACCTAATATGTTCTAAAAAGGGAATGATTCGTATCACCAAAGTCGGCTCCAAAATGAGTTCACCAAGCCTAAGTACTCTCTCAATTTTTTGGCTCCAAAAACAGTTTATCAAGCCCAAATATTTTCTCAAATTAGATGGCCAACTTGAGAGATTCTCATCACATATTATTTTTGTAATCTTTTCATATCGCATCTCATATTGGTTTTCTTAGAGAAATTTTAGCATATTGGGAGGGTCCTACATAGCAATGTCAAGTGGTATCTTTCACCAATCATAAATGCATATACTCCCTATTGTCTGTCGGACATCCAACATAAATATAATATACTCTACTATCAAATTCAATCTCAATAAAAAAAAAAAGAGGTTAAATTACACTTACACCTCCTGAGGTTTTTGTTTAACACAAATTCTCCTCTCACATTTGAAAAATTACACATATCTCCTGTTAGATTAAAATGACATATTTGTTCCTCAGCCTTTATACATATAAATAATAAAATAATATATATATTTTGTTCATGTCATTTCAAGAGAAATAAGAATTATCTTCTTTAGTTTAACTCACACAAAAAATTGTGTTTCTTTATTTTTATTGTTTTTTTATTTGTACTGAATTTTGTTAATATTTAAAGTAATTTTTTTTAAATTATTTTGATACACCTAATCTAGATATACTTAAGAATTATAATATTTTGTGCTTTTTTTTTTAAATTCACCAAATACAAAAAAATATAAAAATACAAAAATTCAATACATTATCTTATTTTGTTGTATTTAATGGATTTTTTAAAAATTTTTTTGTACAAATTTTATACTTCTTTATATATATAATGGTGGAAATAAAAATGAAAAATTATTTTCATATATAAAAATTTATATAAAAAATATCATAAAAATGCTGTCATAGTGATATTGTTGTAAATATAAATCGTGTTTATGGGTGCTTTGTTTTAAAGTGAAAGGTCACCATTAAGTTATATTATTGTGTTTGAAAATTCTATATAAAATTTATATTTGTATATCATCAATCAATAAGAATATGTTCAGGTAGAATTTAATGATGAAAAATTGTAGAACGTAGTCATGAAAATAGGAAGAAAAAATTGGAAGAAAAAAAAAGGAAAGATAGTCATTTAGAAAATTTTAAAATATGACATCAGAAATTTAGAGGGTAATTTGTAATGAGATTACAAACTTCAGGAAGGAAAATATAATTTTTCAAATGTAAAGAGATTTGTATTGAATAGAAATCTCAGAAGTGTCAATGTAATTTACCCTAAAAAAAGACACCACGTAACATTTACCTTGTTGACACTTAAAAATTCTTCGTTTTCTTGAATCGAGATAATAGCATAAAGTTAGAGACACAAAAAGTGTATACAAGAATTTTAACATAACAATAATGATTGATAGTCCGAATTTTTATGGCTTGAATTTCTCAAAACGACATCGTTTTGGGGATAAAACGATATCGTTTTGATACATTCGAGCCATTTATGCCATACAAATTCGAATTACGAAGCATTTTTTTAAACATAAATAGATTGTGTTGAGATTTACTCTAGAGACACAGGATGTGAACACAAAAATTTAAACATAATTAGATTACGTGGTTGAGGTTTACTCTTATACAATGGAGTTTATACTTAAAAAATAATAAATTTGAATTATATTTTTATTTTTCTCTGTAAATTTTGTGTATCTAATCTTGTTCTTAATAATATCTTATCATATCTTTTGATAAAATGGTGGAAAAGAAATGTGATTAATAATAGTCTTAAAAAATTTATACAAAGAAACATTTAAAATGATATTTCAATGACATTTTTTAAATTATAATGATAATTTTTTGATTAAAAGTGAATAGAACACAAAAAGTCACTTCTTTATGTATAGAAATGAGATGAGATTAGAAGGTGCTTTCTAAAGCTCGTAAGATTTATAATGAACATATTTTGGAAATTCAAATCTTTTTTTTTTATTTTAAAATCTATATGAATATATCATTCTTAAAAAAATAAAAGATAAATTAGATAGATCAAATTATTTCAACGACCTTTATGATTTTATTTATTTGATTTTGAAAAAAAAAAGAACAATAAAATAATTTCAAAACTAGACTGTCTTTTTTCTGCTTCTAAGTAATATATGTAAGGGCCTACAAAAGAAATAGATCAAATAGTCAAAGTAGCGCTCATAATGATGCCACTCACGAAATTGGACAATCCCTCCCGTCTTTGGAGTGTTTTGAAAAGTTGGTAATTTTTTAATTCAATAATCCTTCGTAGTTCAAATCTTCCTTCCTCCGAATTCCCCGACTGTCCAAAATGACGTCGTTTTGTGCAGTTTCCTTTCTTCTTCTTTTTTTTTTTTTTTTTTTCCTTTATGTCTGAAACGCAGAGAGAAGAAGAGGAAGAGGAAGAGGAAGAGGGAGAAAAAGAGAAAGAGAGAAAGAGAAGAGAGGGTAAGAGGGAATGGAGAGAGAGAGAGGGTCGACGTCGCCTCCGCCTCTGATTTTTTTTTTCAGATCAATCAATCGTTGTGTTTTTTTCAAATCAACCATTTTTTTTTTCTTCAAATCGATGTGTTGATGATGGTGATGTTGTTGTTGATGATGAAGATGTTCTGGATCTGAAGATGAATGGTTGATTTTTTTTTTTTTTTTTCTAGATCTGAAGATGAATGGTTTTTTTTTTCCCTGGATCTGAAGATGAATGGTTGTTGATGAAGATTTGAAGATGAATGGCTTGTTGGGTGATTTTCTCTCTCTCTCTCTCTGCTACTTCCTTCTTCTTCTTCTTCTTCCTTCTTCTTTCTTTTTCTTCTTTTTTGATTTTTCTTCTTCTGCGTTATTGGAAAAAAAAAAAAAATCAAAACGACGAAACGACGTCGTTTTCAATTCAGGCAAAATTCGAACTCAAAAATTTTGAGCTACGTAGCACAACTTTTGACTATTTTAATAGTTTTTTTAGTGACTTTTTTGAGAGAATTAAGTAAAAAGTCAAAAAATTAACTTTTTACCAAGCTTCCAAAAGGACTTATTTGTATTGAAGAGAATTCATTTCTTATAGAAATTAGATTTGTACGAGAAAGAATCCATTTCTTATAAAAATTTTGAACAAAAAATTTATTTATATAACATTATATATATAAAAAAAAAGAAGAAAAAGAAAAACCTAACAAAAAAGATAAATTAAGATCTAAATATAAGTTATAACAACGAAGTCACAAATATTCCAAGTTATCGCAAAGGATATCATTTAGGTTGTGTTTGGTTGAAAGATTTTAAAAGATATTTAAAAAGAAAAAGAAAAAGAGAAAAAATAGATAAAATGTGAATAAAAATATCTACGTTTCATCTAATTTTACACATTTTTTTTTCTTCTCTAAATCATTCTCCAAATCTCCCAAACCAAACACAATCCTAATATATTTTACAATGTATTGTTTGCTCTTTTTTTTTTTTTTCGACAGAGGATATTCACTCTCTTCAGTTACATTGCTGGACGGATGTTGTTGTGGTCCTTGCTTTATTGTTTTACCTTTTCTTAAGTTTTTGATATACTATACTAGGTGTAGTGAATTTTATTTTATTTATTTTTCTTTGTTTTTATTGGGTTGAGTTTGTATTTTTTTTGACCATTAATTTTGTTTTCAAAAAATATTTCATAACTACTCCATTCAAGGTGGTTTTATTTTTTATTTTTTATATAAATTCTAGTCCCTTGATCCAATTTCGTGGTGTGTGTTCATGTGATAACAATGCTATTTTTTATTGAAGGTATCCCATGAGCAAACCAAATGGATAGTCAGAGCTATATGATTTTTTTTTTCAACTACTGTTCATGGCATTTCAGTACATCGTGCTAACTCATTAAAAGTATCATATTTCTTTAATATGATGCTTGACTTTCATTGAGAATTAAATTATTCAATATGTTTTTAGTTTACGATTTTTTTAAAAAAAAATTATCATTTGTTAATATTTGGTAAAAATAAATTACTATATAATACTTGATCTTAAAATGTAATTTACCCAATTTATCCAATTTAATGTAATTTATCATTTGGATTAAAATATAATCTATCTAATTTCCAATTAAGAGCATGTCCATTGACCTTCACCATTAGATCCGATCTGATCTTAATCTAATGTAATCTTAGCTGTAGATCTGATCTAATCTTATTATAATCTTATTATAACCGGGCACGCCCGGGATTTATGGGCTTGTGTTTTATGCTTGAAGAGCATTATGGGCTGGCTGGTGCCGGGTTTGGAGGCCCAAGGCACGTGAAATTGGTCTCTGTTTGGTTTTTCATTTTTTATTTTTGTTGTTTTTTTTTGTATTTGCTTTGTCTGCTAACTGGTGTTGGGTTTGATTATTGTTATGTTAAAAAATATTTGTGGAATTTTTTTGATACCCGTGCCTAAAATTAGTGAAATTTTTTTGATATCCGTGACGTGATTATGGCTGGTGGAATTATTCTTATATTTTTTTTTTAATTTGCACAGTTGAATTCAAAAATTAAATAAATAAAAAAATTGAAGTTGCTTAGTTATTAAGAGACAAAACAACAAAATATAATTGGAAGATGTTTTTCTGAAAAACATTTTTTTTTCAAAAAAACATTCATGTGATGAGATATATGTTTCAAAAAACATT